ATACTAATAATCAAACATAACTCTAAAATTCAAAGTTCGTCATCAAATAGAAATAATATTGATTAGTCCATCATCAAATAAATAGTAATTCAAAGTTCAATCCAACATCAAACATGAAGCAAGGTAGTCCATTCAACATCAAACATAAAGCAAACATAAATTAGAGGCTTAATTCAAATTCATCCAATGCAAGCATTGCAACAACAACCATCCTTATTAGTCTACACTCATAGGCTCTTTATCAGGTATATTTGTACAGGTTAAATAGGGGTATGCGCGTTATTATAGATCCAACTTACAAACAGTCCTAAACAATTCGGGCTAGACATGTAGTGGGCCAAAAAATAAAAAATAATGTTATAAGTTACTTTTTTCAGATTAGGTTAAAGTGTGGTGGGTGGGTTGGGTTTGTGGGTTGTTTGAGTTTATGTACACTGGCCTCGTTCACTTCACGGATTTGAGTTTTCAATTCGAGTTGAGATGTGACATTTTCTGAGAGCTTTTCACTGTAGTAGAAAAAGTTAGATATGATATTTTCTGAGAGCTTTTTACTGTAGAAACCTAAAACTGAAAACTCAAATCGGTGAAATGAATGAGGACTGTCCATAATACCAACTAGTGGTGCAATTTTGGGCGGTGGGCATACCCGGTGCCCGAAAATTTTCAGGCACGACGAGCAGGTGCCATACGCCGCCCGTCTGAGGTTTTTGGTCGGGCACGGGCTTGGGCAGCCCGAAAAAATTCATTCCCTAGCTGCCCACCACCGTGGAGAAGTCGTCCTCGCCGTCCGCCGGAGTTTTTTTTGAATTTTCCGGCGAAACCCGAATGTGCCCGAATTTTGCCCGAATTCTGCCTGATTTTTTTTACCGTTAGCTCGAATTTTGCTAGTTGCCTGAAATGCCTGAATTTTTTTTACTGTTGACCCGAATTCTGCCCAAATTTTGAACCCAACGGATCTTTTTGCCTGAACCCGACCACCACCCAAATTTTGCCCAAAAATTCAAATCCTAACGGCTATAATTGTGACCGTTGCCCGATTCTTGCCCGACCCGACCCAACTGCCTAAAAAAATTAGTAGTCGTTGGACCCGAATTTTTGGGAGAAAAAATTTTTTTTCAAGCCAAAATTTTTCCTATAAATACCCCGTCCTCCTAACCATTTTCCTCACCCAAAAACTCTCATTCTCTCTCAATTTCTCTTAATTTCTCTTAATCTCTCTCAAATCTCTCTTAATCTCTCTTAATCTCTCTCAAAGCGCTCTCAATCTCTCTTATTTTTCATAATGGCTTCTTCTGGTTATGGTAGTGATATTCCCATTGATAACCAATTCAACATCGAAGAGGGCAATTTCTTAATGTTTTTTAAATGCAGGAATCGCAAACTACGGAAAGAGTTGCTGAGGAAACTGCAAATCTGACCCCTAGTGGACGTACTAGAGGTCGGGGACGTAATGGTGGTGCCACTGGTGGGCATGGAGGAGAGGCATGCGGTAGTGCTAGTGCAAGTGTTGCAAGTTCTAAGAAGAAATGCAAGCGCACTTCAGCAGTTTGTGAGCACTTCAACACATTCGAGGAGGTCGACAATAACGGTAACATTAAATACATAGCTCAATGTAAATATTGTGGTGAGAAATTATAATATAACACTATTCACGACACTATACACTTAAGAAGACACTCTGAAAAGTGTCTTCAAAAGTAAGGAGGTGGAGCTGATCTCCGCCAAACACAATTATCGTTTGACCGCCAAACCGGCGGTCTAAGCACGTGGAAATACGATCTGCAAGTTGATCGTATGGAAATGGCATGATTAATAGCCACATTAGATCAACCACTAAGTTTTACTGAACAAAGAAATTCACAGCGTTATATTAAAATTGTACATAATCCTAATGCACAATTTTTTTCTAGAACTACTCTTAGGAAAGATGCATTAAAATTATATAAACAAGAAAAGGAAGCATTAATCAACCTTCTACACTCTACTAGTGGTTGCGTTGCGTTAACGACGGATATTTGGTCCGCCGTTGCCAACAAGGATTATTTAGCTGTAACCGGACATTATTATAAAGGTTTTGATTTGGATAAGAGAATCTTAGGTTTCAAATGTGTTATAGGATCACATACTGCCAATTTAATATATAACACAATTTTATCTGTTATTGATGAATATAGTTTAAGAGATAGAATAATGACCATAACATTAGATAATACAACTGCAACTACTAAAGCAATAGAACTTTTTGAAAATGATTTAAGTTTATTCGGTAATAATGATATATTTCACCAACGTTGTGCATATCATATAATTAATTTAATAGTAAAATCTGGTTTAAAATCAATGTCAGGTCATATTAAAAGAATTAGAGATAACATTGCTTGGATTCAAGGTAGTAATCAAAGAATACAAGATTGGTTTAGATTTCTACAAGCATGTAATCAAAATCCTAGAGCATTAGCCTTAGATATGCCTATAAGATGGAACTCCACTTATATAATACTTGAACAATGCATCCCCTATAAAGATGTTATAACAAATTATGTTAGTGCAAAATTAGGACCAGGATTTATAGATGAAACTAATTGGTAAGTTGTCAAACTCTTGTATAACTTTTTAGGTAGATTTCACGAAGTTACCTTAAAGCTAAGTGGAACTTATTACCCAACGTCACCATTAGCGTTAGGAGAACTTTTAATAATGTCTATTTTATTTAGTGAATTTAGGACACACGAGGTTTTAGGAGTTCCTATTGCCTCTATGGAAAAGAAGTTCAAGAAATATTGGTCTAAATTACCCATGTTGTATGGTTTCGGTGTTATTTTTGACCCTAGATTAAAATTAGAAGGTTTAGAAAGTGGATTAGATAACTTAGGTGAATTTTTAGCTATCGACACTACTGACCAATTTCTTATTATAAAGGAAAAAATATTTTCTCTCTTTATCTCTTACGAAAGTGGGTTTAGAAACACACCTCGTGTTGAACAACCGCAACAACGAGACGATAATCCACATTCATTTTTAAATGTTTTCGGGTTGTCTAAGAAGAAGAAGACGACGACTCAAGGTCAAGAAGAATCTGGGAGTGGATCTTCATCAAGAGGTGGTGGCAACAGTGGCGAATTCAACGAGTTAATGGCGTACCTGAGTGAGGGCTTAGTTGTAGACAATAGTGAAATGTTTGATTTGGTTCAGTGGTGGAGGGCACGAACATTAACTTGGCCGATCCTAACACGACTGGCAATGGATATTTTTTCGATCCCGATCTCCACTGTTGCAGCCAAACAAGCATTCAGGACAACCGGCCGAATACTTGAAGAACGGAGAAACGCATTGCAACAGGATATTGTTGAAGCTTTGATGTGCATCAAGGATTGGGATCGTTCCGACCAACGCTTACATGATACAATCTCACCGGCAAGCCAAGAATGGATCGACGAGTTTAATAGATTAACGTTTAATTTTCAAGACGATCCTTCTGCTTCAAATTAAATTTTATTATTGTAATTTGTAAATATTTATTTACTTCATAATTTCTAATTTGTATAGTGTTATTGTAATCTTGTATAGATTTTGTAACTTCGTCAAATTTGTAATTCGTCCCACAATGATTGCACTCTTTTTTTCTTACCAAGTTTTTATCCCAATTTAGTTTTTTTTTGTAAGGTTTTTAATGAGGCAATCATGAATTACAAATTTAAAAATTAATAAAGAAATAATTTTTTTTATATAGTTCGTGTGTTCATTTCAAATTTTAAATTATAATATAGTATATATATATATATACACATTATACAATATAAAAATGTAATATAAAAAATATTTGAAAATTCTGGCAGCCGGTCGAGCATCCGGCAGCCCGACCGGGCACGGGCAGCCAACTCCTGCCCGAAGCCCGTCCATGATGAAATTTGGGTCGGGTCGGGCAATCTAAATTTTTGGATAGTTTGAGTTCAATAATCAGATAAAAATTCAAATTTTTCGGTAGTCGCAGGCGCCCGCCCGTCTAAAGTTTCAGCATTGATACCAACCACGTTCCAAAATTCCCCCAAATTTTTACAACGTTAAGAATTATCACCCCCATAGAGATGTCAAAAGGGCCGTGTCGGGCCGGCACGGCCCTTTTAACCCCAGGCCCATGGCTGGCCTGGGCCGTGCCAGGGCCGGGCCTGAGGAGAAACCCTCAGGCCCAGCACTGGCCCATGGCCCTAGTCCATAACTAGGGCCTGGGCCCAGGCCCTTCATGGGCCGGCCCTGGCCCTTTTAATTTTTTTTTCAATATTTATTTAAAAAAAAAGAAAATATATCATATGTCCCCAAAAGATGTGATTTTATTGAATTGAGATAATACAAATAAGTACACATAAATGATCAACTCGTTAAAAACCTTGTCAAGTAAATCTCGTGGGGAGATCGGGACAAAACCTTAGCGAAGGAAAAAAGAGTGCAGTATTCTAGGATAAGTAAATTACAAAACCTAAGTGCTTCTAGAAGATTTTGTGATGTCTAAACTCAATCTTAACCTAATTTTCTTAATGTACTTGAGTTTCACTTATGATTAGCAATATTTTTAGGATTTTTTTTTAATTTCAAATTTGATGACAAAAAAAAAGTAATATATCATATGCCCCAAAAATATGTGATTTTATTGAATTAATATGAATAATTATAAGAAAATGACTGGTTGACCAGACGGCATAGGTCGGCCAATTGACCCTAAAATGCTTCAAATCTCATTAAAATTTCATGTCGCGGGCCTGGCCTTTCGCGTGCCTGGGCCGTGCCTGGACAACGGGCCTCATGTTTGAGGCCCAGCCCAAGCCCTTCTGGCGTGCCATGTCAGCCCGATCTATAACAATACAGGACCAGACCGTGTCAAATTTACTACTGTAGCGGGCTGGACCGGGCCATCCATAGACGGCCCGGCTCAATTGACACCTCTACACCCCCACAGAATCCCAAATACAAACAAAACCCAAGCAAAGAGTCCCAGCCCGTTTTTTCTCTCCTCTTTTCCCTTTCTCTCTCCTCTCTCTTTAGATTCTCTCCCTCTGGACCTCTCAGCTCTTCTCCACCCAATGATTTCGATCTGATCAGAAAAGCCCCCCTTTTTACCCTTTTTGTCTATCTTAATCATCCCAGCTTCAGTTTTCCATTTTCCTTCGGATCCTAAGATTTCTGGAGCTCCGTGTGTAGTCTCAGGTGAGCGAATTTTCCGCGAATTTTATCTCAAAATCGTTTCTTTTGATTGGGTTTTACGTATTGGTGTTGCGAATTCGTTTGAATTTCGAGTTTGGTGATGAGATTTTTTTGGGGGGAAAGATTCGATTTTGGGTTTGCTCTGTCAAAAACCCTAGCTTGGTGAACCGCTTGGTGCTTGGGTTTCTGTGGACCGACACGATTTCCTAAACAGTGTAATATTGATGAATTTGATGAAAATTTTCAGCTGTTTAGCTCAAAATTTCTTACAATTGACTTTGATTTCTGGGTCTGCGATGTTTTTATTTGCGTGTAGGTTAAATAATTGCTGCAAATTTTACTTCCTTATGATGAAGTTTTTGTTCTATCCGGTGAGATAAGTTGAATTGCCATGTTTGATAACCTTTATAATCTTTGCCATTGCGAAATAGTAGAAAGCAGGTCCAGTTTAGCTAAGTTTGCTTCTTGTCATGGAGAGACTTTCTTTCCCCCATCATTTTTTGGGGTTTCTACATAATTGGGTTGACATCTTAGAGTTGTCAATAAATTTCCATTTCAGGATCTTATTTATTCCCTTGTTATTCCTTTGTGTTTAGGTTAAATTTTAGAGTCTAATCCGATTTGTTTGTGCAACAATTGTTGAATATGTTTAGAAAAATTGGATTGCCCTTGTATAACTTGTTATAGTCTTTGTTATTGCAAAAGAGTAAAAAACCAGTTTAACTCGGTTAGCTGCAAGTCCAAGAAAGACCCTTTTCTTTTACCTTTTGGATTTCTTTTTTATCGGGTTTGCGTTTCTTGACAAGTGGCTGTCTGAATTTTTAGATCGGGAAAATGTCGACTCCTGCTAGGAAAAGGCTGATGAGGGACTTTAAGAGGTTGCAACAAGACCCACCGGCTGGGATTAGCGGGGCGCCTCAAGACAATAACATAATGCTCTGGAATGCTGTTATATTTGGGTGAGTTGGCTGTAAAACCTGCAGAGAGATATGCTTTTATTTTATTCTTATGTTATTTTACGTTTCCGTCATTTCTTGGTATGCTTAAGTACTGTTGTGTAAGCTATTTCTGGTTTCTTGTCTGGTTTGGATTGCAGTCCCGACGATACTCCTTGGGATGGAGGTGAGTGAACCCTTGCTCTGAAGCTTTAATCCATTAATATTTGTGTTTGACTAGCTTATTTTCAAGGGATATTTATATTTTTATACCCTTTGTTTTAAGTTTATTCAAAATCTATACCATCGGTTTTTTATCTCATCAAATGTATACATTCAAATTAGATTTAATATACAAATCTATATCTTATCTCGATTAACAAAGAATTTTGACATTTCAAATGACTAAACTATCCTTAAAGAAAAGAGCAAAAAACACTAAGACTTTCCAATACTACGATTAATTAAAAATTAATAAATAAATAAATAACCATTTCAATGGCATTTTGCATACTTTTGAGATCAAAACCGTAAGGTTAAAGTTTTTTTTCGGTTTTTTTTCTTTTTCTAATTTTTATTCAAAGGTATTTTAGGTGTTTTAAATGTTTAAATCGAGGGTTGACCGTGAAAAGGTTTAAATTTGGGTATTAAATCTCAATTTGAAGGTATATATTTGATGAGATAAAAAACTGAAGATATAGTTTTTAAATAAATCCAAAACACGGTATAAAAAGGTAAATTTCCTATCTTCAATTATTTCATGGTGCGCTGAAATTTTACATTCTAAAGTGTCTTTGAACATCGATTAAAATTTGTATCATTTTACTAGTATATGTAAAGATTTTTTTTTTTTTTTTTTTGGGTTGGGGGTGGGGTTGTGGGGGATGGTATATAAAGAGTATTTTGGTTTTTGACTGGATGATTAGATTGTGACCGCTGCAACTGTTTCTCTATGTGTTCCTAAATTTTGTTTTCACAATTTGGCCATAAGTTGTCTGATTGAAATGATCATCGCTCATCGTTTAACACATTACATTTCATTGTTTCTGGATCTGGATATCCGATTGTCTTGTGATAGTCTCAAAGAAATCATCGTTTATGATGAGCCCAAAAGTTCACTTGGTTCTTGGCAGCCCATTTTATATTGTATTTACTATCCATGTGTGCGCGTCTGGGTGCCTCTATCAGTTAAATTGTTTTACTTTGTAGAGGGAATTTTTAATTTGTTTGGATAATTTAGATACCATTAATAGGCTTTAAGAATTGGTGTCCCGACTCTTGTGATGGCTTTTCTAGTTGCTACCTGCTGCACCACAAGTTCCTAAAGGTTCTATGTACTGTCATGGTGCCTCCATGTGCATGATCCCTATAAGATTTTTTTTGGATCAAATATATGCTCCATTCATATCTCACCACTTAATGGTGCTTGTTTGTGAGATCATTAGCAGATAACTTATACATGCCAATTCCCTTCCTCGCTTAAACTAGATGGTATTCTTGACATGATCTAATGAAAATTGAGTCTCTGTGTAAAGTAACTGAGATCATACCATGTTATGTTAGCGGCAGTATTTCATATTACAATTAGGATATCAATATCAAAATTTCAGGATTCCTTAGTGGATTAAGGTTTTTTTTTTTTTTTTAAGACAATTTATTGAAACTCAGTAGGCTAGGAATACTTGTATCAATGAATTATATTCGACGTTGCAAAAGTAGATCATTCTCTCTACTCTGCGTGTGCGCATTGATTCTTTCCATTGATAAGAAAATATGCGTTGCCATTTTTGTTAAAATTTGTTTGACTCGATTTGTATGTTCACAAAACAAAAAACTTTATGTTCGAGTTATACAGGCACGTTCAAGTTGACTCTTCAGTTTACAGAAGATTATCCAAACAAACCACCAACAGTGCGGTTTGTTTCTCGAATGTTTCATCCTAATAGTAAGTTGGAAAAAACTGTTGTGACATTACCATTTGTTTGATGAGAAACATTTTTCATCATGTCAATTCTCACTTAAAACAATGAATTATCTTTCAAATTTGTCAGTTTATGCCGATGGAAGTATTTGTTTGGATATCCTACAGAACCAGTGGAGTCCTATATATGATGTAGCAGCTATACTCACGTCCATACAGGTATTGTTCATTGTTTTGTTAGTGTGGGTACATCATTGTCACGTTTTTATGTGTATGCGTGAATCAAGCAAAGCAGGAATGCTTGGCTCAAAATTTTTATTACTTGTTATAATCATATGGATAAACCAAGCAAAGTATAGCAGGCATGCTTGATGCATTAGCCAGTTTGGTTAAAATGAAATTTTGTCTCAAATAATTTGGTCTGTCTTCTACCCATTTCTTGCAAGGAAGACAAGAAAATTTGATATATATATATATATATATATATTTCTTACCGTATGTATGTATTACATCTGATTTTGACTTACATTGCTCTATTATTCATCTCGTTGCAGTCCCTGCTGTGTGATCCCAACCCAAATTCTCCTGCAAATTCCGAAGCTGCTCGCATGTTTAGCGAGAACAAACGTGAGTACAATCGAAGAGTGAGGGAAATCGTGGAACAGAGCTGGACGGCAGATTAAATTATATGTTCTGGTAGGGCAGTGTTAATGTGTTTGAAGGCATGTTTCAAGTGGCATTGCCACGTTAAAAATCTTTGTGAGAACTTATCAACATTCATCTTGTATTTCAATGTCTTCCCTCGATATTGTGAATGTTAGAATTTGTTTCTTCTTTTTATCACCATGACTTGCTACATTGCTGCTTGTTCTGCTCATGTAAAATAGAGTGTTGTTTGTTTAATTCATCTCAAACTGTTGTGAACTCGGTTGAGTATAAATAGAAGACGTAGTTTTTAATAGTTATGGTTTATGAGGGAAAATATTTGCATGCTACTATTATACTGTTAGTGTTGAAGAAAAAGTATGAATGTAAAGTTTTATTGTGGGGTTAAATGCTATTTGATTGTTACTCTGCAGTTCGTTGTTTGCTTGCATAATCTATCTTTTAGTCTGGAATTGGATCTAATTTCCTTTTCTTCTTAGACAACACCAATTAAAAATATGAGTGCAATATTGAATCAATAGCTTCTTCGTTTTTGTTTTATCTCCAGTGTCTGTCATCTCATTACCCTTGGCATGTGTAACTAGATCAGTGGTATTTTAATGTAGGCTTAGGAGGCCAAAGCAAGCGATTTTAGGGTGAGGTCTAGTGGTTTTACATACGGTATTAGAGCCAATCCAGTCCATTATTTGTGGGGCTTGGCCTATTGTTGGCCTATTGTAGGCCTATCACGAGCAGGAGTCATGGTCAGTGTGGACCCTAAGCATAAAAGATAGAGCACTTCTTGCGAGTAAAAGTGGTTATACATTTTTAGCATGTTTATGAAGTGGATGTTATAGGATAAATAATGGGATTGGAAAGGAAAGTAAAGTAAAAAAAACGATGATCGTTGCATATTGCTTACTAGAGGTATACAGATTGACATTCTCTTTATTTATTAAACTTAAGAGTATACATCTTATCAATGTAATTATAAGTGAATTCGGCATTTATTGTTTTTTTCAAGGTATCAATACTAGAGGTATACAGATTGACATTCTCTTTATTTATTTCTTATGTTGTGGAGGTCCACTAAACTCTTACTACTAATTTAGTAAGTAAACACATGATTAGATAGAAAAGGTTCCCTTTCATGCAAAGCATTCATACTATTAAATTTTCATTGGAACAAGCCCTATTCGTAGAACAAGCTCATCTTCTCGAAATGCTTTTCCATCGTTCTAATAACTTTAACGCGCCTTCATTGCATTGCTCTTCCAATTCCCTATTCGTAGCACTTCAACAAGCCCTCGTAGGTTCTAGTGAGTACCAACTACCAAGAGCCACCAAAAGTAGTAAAGCAAGCGAGCTGAAGAGTGAAAAGAATAAGAAGAAAGTGGAGTTTAGTCAACTTAAGGAGAGAGTATTGTCGTTTTGGTCCTTGGAGATTGAGAACTTGTCTTTTGTCATGGTTAACTGCGATTAATATTTTGTCGTATCTTAGCCATCTAGTAAGTAGTAAATCAGCTCAGATTGATAATGGACTAAAATTGCATTTCTCTGCTTAGTTGATCAAATCAAAACGTTGTACCTACAAGAAATAACCAATTATCGACCAAACAATAGAAACATATAGATTAATGGTTTAGTTCATTCAGTATAATCGTTAACTACTTGAATTATAGACCAAACAATAGAAACATATAGATTAATGGTTTAGTACATTCGGTATAATCGTTAACTACTTGACTGTATAAACACTAAACACAAACAGCAATCCAGTTTAAACCACCCAACCAAAGGAATAAGAAAAAAATAATGGTCACACACTCACACTTGTCTTTTTTTTCGAGAAACCGACAAACTTGCACCATAATCCTTTCTATACATTGGAAAAGCCCCCACTAAAAAAACACTGAAGACAAACCCGTCAAGAATATGAAAATCATCTGGCATGCCATATTTGGTGCAGAATGGCTACATGACCTCGGCCAAACTGATCTCTTCCATGGAGGAAGCGTCCTACAATTAGATTGAAGATTAAGAAATGTAAGTAAAAAATGGAGTTTCGTATTTCCCATTTCTTCATTCTATCACAAACTACGACCAAAAAGGCCGAAAAGATAAGTTGCAAAATTATAAAAATTTACCATATTTTCTTTGTTCTCTTGAAGCGGATTTTCCGCATGAGAGGGGCTAACTGGACCTGCAATGGTATCGAATTGTAAAATTTATGTCACAAATCACATGAAAATATTAAATAAGATGGCAGATTTAAACTTGCCTTCTTCATCAACAGATTTCTTTCCCTTTTTCTTCGTCAAATCCCTTTCTTTTTTCAATTCTTGCTTAATTGGCTTTTGGGGTTTCTTTATAGACTTATTGGCCCCAGTGTCAGCAAGAGATCTTGAATTGGCAGAATTCTTTGTCAAAGATACCCGAGTCCTGGTTGATGTGGGATTAACTTTCTGAATAGTGTTCTTCTTGGTGGTTGATCCTGTAACTGCGGAAACTTTAGCTGCATCAGAGTTTGAGGCCTTCGGCTTCAGTTTCCTGGAACCTACAGTAGAAGACGAGCTACGGATTTCGTCATCAGATGATCGAGTTTCCTCCTCAGGTACCTGAGAACAGGTTTCAGAGACCTGCAACTGCCCCGTGCTTTCAACCACAATGTTGTAACTCTCAAATAATTCCTTCACAGGGTCTCCAAGTTCACTAAGGTTATGACGGCGAGCATAGCACGTAAGCTCATCTCTCACTCGCTGAAGAGGCTGCGTATCAAATTATATGAAAGCAAGTAGCAATGGTCAGAATTAACTCTAGAATGTAGAAGGAATAATATTAATGGAACTATAACGATTTTATAGGATAGTGCTACGCAGCAAGAGTTATCAGTGCCTATATAGTTAACAGAATTATAACCATTGATGATGCTTAGCATTATTCATATAATGTTGTTAACTAACAAGTAAAACAGGTGAAAGTTGCAGACTTAAGGTACCTCACACCCGGCTTCCAAGGCCAGCTTGAAGAACCCAAGCGAAACTGAGTGCTTAGCAGCAGCTTCAGAGAGCTTAATCTGAGACAGCCAATAAGATGCAGAGGACAGAACACTGAACTTCTTTCGGCTTGACAATCTAGAGACATCCGAAACCGGTGTGTCTGTTATCCTTTGAATGCTATCAGATCTCTTCCCTCTAACCTCTGAAATTGGAGTGATACTGCTCACAGGTCTCAGAGCTGGAGTCGCAGCCGGCTTGGCAGGAATAGAGAGCCTTCTCGGTGGCTTAGTAGACTTTTCCTTGCCAGATAGATCAAGAACGCTCACACTTTTGCTTACACTAGATGCAGCTCTCACCCTATAAATAAAGAAAATACAACAAAATTGAAATTCTTGCCCCCACAAGCTAAAAAGACATCCTTTACTGGAACTTAAGACCAAAACTCGGTAAAAAGTACAGACTGAAATGGGACTTCAAAAGTAAATATTATCCGCGTTATTCTACTTCCATCTTATTCAAGTTTCATGAAAATATTCGACATTTGCAGACTCTTAGCAATTCATGAAAACACAACTAATTCCACCAATGTAACTTTCACTTTTCTCTTAAAGCCAATATGTGAAAACATTCTTGTGACAACCCATCCATGTCAATTGCTTATACTAGGAAAATATAATCAGACATGAAAAAATTAATTTGAAGTGTTTCTTACTTGTTAATTGACATTTTATTTCAACCTACATTACCAGATCAAAATCAGAAACAAATTATCTCACAAAAAATAAATAAATAAAATAAAAACCCTTTAAAAACACAAACTAACTCAATTTTCCTCCAAATTATAACGATACAACATTCTTGACAAATTCTGATAACATAAAGCAAAGGGAAAGAAAATTTAACCGAAAGAAAACTAAAAACCTCTTGGAAGCAGTGGAATTAGAGAATTCCGAAGAAGCCGGAGGCTTCTCCTCCTCCTTCTCCTCCTTCAGCTTAATCGCGGATCGCAACGCGTAGCGTTGAATCTTAGATTTCCCTGAGTTTCCTGAAACATCCAAAGTCACAAAATTCAAATTCCACAAAAGAAGAAGAATAAGATTTCACAGAAAAGCGAAGAAACAAAGAAAATTTTGAGGAAAGAATTGAACCGGATTGAGCGATCTGCGAATCCTCCATGGTTTTCTTCAAATGGGAATTTTGAGCTCTGAAATTGAAGAGAAAAATGGAAATGGCGTTTCTTGTTTTGAGGAATAACTGATTGAGAGACGAGACAGAGAGGATTTATAAAGGGAGTGGTTACGATATTATCTGTACTCTACTGATCAATTTTCTTTTTTCTTATTTTTGGACAAGACAAAATAGTATTTGGGCGGGAAATTGAATAATTGGACCCCACAAAAACTCAAACATTTCCATTTTTCTCAAAAAAAAAAAAAAAAAACAAAAACAAATCAGCTACGCTCCGACATAGTGACTGAGAAGCCGTTGAAAAAAGAACGGTAATCAAGAGAAATTTTCCAATTTGGTAATAATTTTTCTTCTTTTGAAAGGTAAAAAATTTCATGAGATTTCTTTTAATTTGTATATATTATTTAATTTTGACTAGCTTATGATGTGATTTATGCTTAGAATATTTTGAATAAATCTTCTTACGTTTAGAAAAATCCTCGTTAAGTTCCTCAAAAAAAAAAAAAAAAAGAAAAAGAAATCCTCGTTAAGTGCACATCAACTTTTGATTTGATTGATGCTAAGCGCACGTCTAATTTTGATTTGATTAATGTGTTTTTATATTTAGATCTCATTTATTTCACCGATTCGAGTTTCGTTACAGTAAAAAACTCTCATAATTAATCACATCTAATTTTTTTATTACAGTAAAAAACTATAATATAAAGTCACATTTTAACTCGAATTAAAAATTTGAATCAGCAAATTGAACGGCCTTAACATGCTCACAACTTTACCTTAAAAAAGAAAAAAGAAATGGCCACGACGAAAAGAGAAAATTTTTAATTTAAAATTTTTTTCCTAAGAGAAAAAAAAAACCAATTCATCGTTATATTATATTATTATCATTCTCACCCTTTTAGAATATTGTTATTATTATTGCTAAAGATTTAAGATTTAAACGGATTTATTTGGAAAGTAGGAAAAAGGATCTGGTATAAAAATAAAAATAAAAAAAAACGCAAAGGATCTGGTATTTGAGAATTTGGTATGACGAACGTAACGGTCGGTCTAAGATCATGATTTGGCAAACGTTTCAACGGCTGGCGCTGCATGGAGCCCACTCCTTTTCCTCATAGTCGAAAAAAATATAAAAAAATAAAATAGAGAAGAGAGTTCGAATTTCAAATTTCAAATCGTGTGCCGTTGAAACTGCTTTACGGTTAAGCTGGGGAAGTACAGAACACGTTAGAGATAAGGATGGATTCTTTTGTCCTTTCTGTCGGGTTAGATATTAATGGGTTTTGTCTTATCTCTAGTCCATTGGGCCGAAAAATAATAGGCCATACGGGCCTTGGGGCCTTCTTTGTCTCGTGGAACTTTGGGATAGAATAGACTAGACTCGATGTGGATTTTAGACCCTTCATTGAATCGGACTTGTCTTGGTGTTGATGCTTTGATAGGACCGGAAAAAAAAAAATTAATAAATATGGTAATGGTATTTGCTTGATGTAAAAGTTAAATCGAATTAAATATTGATTATCAGATCTTCGATTGGTCCACTTGACTAGCTCTAGAAATTCTAAATGAAATAACAAATAAAGAACGTATGGGTTTTTCAACAAATCTTCTATAGTCAATGGAAAATCCGACTGACAAGAGCAAGCATAGTACCATAGTCACACAATACACTGTAAAAAAGTGTCAAAATGATCAATGAACAAATATGCCTTAATACACGTCTTTTTTTAAAATATATATATATATATATATGAAATATTTTTATTACATTATTTAATAATTTATCTTTTTTATCGTTATAATCACTCATATGATTGTGACTATCAACGTTAGTAATATGGTGACGAAGGACTTATAATAAAAATAATATAATTTTTTTATATGGTCTCTCTACTGATAAGATTCAAATTCAGATTTTGATTCTGACTGTTAAATTTAGTTAAAATTATATCAGATTAAAAAAACATACATAATATACAATTTACGATACATATTTACCGGTTTAAAATAAAAAACTACTAATAATTTAGATTTTTTTTATTTTATCAAAAAAGCTCCCTAAAAATAAGTGAGAAGAAAAAGGAATTTTTTTAGTATTATTAAATTTCATTACGTCAAATCACACTACAATTGTAACATAAAAAAAATACTATAATATCCAATGGAAGTTAATTATGAAAATGATATCAAATTTGCGTACGACTAATTGAACACCGTTTAAAAAAAAGTTTATTTTATTTTATTTCTTTTCTAATTTACAACAATATTGGAGCCGACAGAGGTAGGTTTTAGCACACGTATGAATAAGAAGAATCATAATGGAATTATTCCTATTACGTGTTAGCAGATTTTTATCGAGACACGCTTTTCCTTGTTTAAACTTTTGGTGAAAAAACTTTAAATCTATTTATTATAGAGCTTTTAATGAACTTCAAATTTGGATCTAGCCATGAAATGCAGCTATTTAAGTATCTATATTTGAAGTAACTAACACAGATTTTAATTTTCCATAATTATTTGTTCTGAGGTTTAAAGGCTCTAACGCCTCAAGCAATTAAAAATAAACCCATTCCCGGTACTACTTAAAAAATGAAAATTTTAAGCAATAGAAAAATTATATGGTACGGCATGCTATTTTACCTTTAAATAGATCAATTTTGTTTAGTCAATAGGGCTCGTTCACTTCACAGATTTGAGTTTTCAATTCGAGCTGAGATGTGACATTTTTTAAGAGCTTTCACTGTAGCATAAAAAGTTAGATGTGACATTTTTTAAGAGCTTTTTACTGTAGAAACCTAAAACTGAAAACTCGAATCGGTGAAATAAACGAGGCCTAAAAAAATTATGATAAAGACTTTCTCTAGAAGGTCTCTCTATCAGTAATGTCAATTTCTGATCGTTAGATTTGATCAAAATCACTTCAAATTAAAAAAGTATGCAGAATAGACAGTTTATTATACATATCTGACAACTAAAAAGTAGATAAATATCGATAATTTATTTATTCTGGTTATACTAGAGAAACTCGCTTCTAATATTTTATAAGGAGTTCCTCTTAAAGGATCAGAAAAAATGAATTATTAATAATTTTTTACTTTTTAGCTGTCACATCAGTATTAAAAATTATTCTTATGTATATTTTTTTAATCAGAATTTAGCCCTATTAGTAGAGAGATCTATCAGTAAAAGTCTAATATTTATGAGTAAAACACTTTTGTGCCGAAGAATATATTTTAATGAAGGGAGTTTCTCTTATGAGTTTTGAAAAAATAAACTATCAAAAAGTCTATATTTTTAGACGTTAAATATATATAAAAAATTATGTATTATGCATACATTTTTAATTTAATGTGATTTATTAATTTTAATTTAATTTAACGGTTAAAAATTAACTCTATTAAAAAAACTCCTTATAATGAAAACTAGGGTTGGCAATTCGTGTTCGCGGGCCGTGTTCGGGCCGACACGATTACAGCACGACACGATTATAGTGAGCACGAACACGACACGATTAATAAACGTGTCAGAAACCCAAACACGAACACGACACGCTAATAACACGGTTAACATGACACGACACGCGAACACGATTATTAAACGTGTCGTGACGGACCGACACGAATAAAACACGTTTATGACCCGTTTATGACCCAACTAGCAAAAATAGTGAATTTTATATTGTATTCAAAACTATATTAATTGACTACTTAATATCACTTATAGTTAAATTCATGCATAATAGCCAACACACATTAAAATATCTAAAAACATCACTTATGACATATGTTTCAAAACATACCAATTACTAAACATCTAAAGAAGTTTGAAAACATAACCAAGTACATTTAAATAAGTTTAAAAACATAACCAAATATTAGAAAATTTAAGTGCATAAAATATAATCAACCATCTATAAGTCCATTGGCATATTTAAGTGCATAAAGCATAAAACATATTTAAAGTTTAGGTTTATCCATTACAAATCATCCATTGGCATTTTGTAATCAACCATCTACAAGTCCATCTACAAATCATCCATCTACAAATCCATTGGCATTTTGTAATTTTATCAACATGCCATAACTTATTTAAAAGTTAGAGTGTTAAATTAAGTTAACCCTTTTATCAAACACCCTTCATGCTTAATAAATGGGTCGGTTCGGGTCGTGTCGTGTCGGCCCGATTACGGCCCGTATAACTAAATGGGTTAAGCGTGTTAAACAGGCTGGCACGAATCCAACCCGTTTATTTTCGTGTTATTCATGTCAGCCCGTTAACGACCCAATTAATAATCGTGCGGTCTAAACTTATTTATCTCGTATCATTTCATCGTGTCGTGTCCGAAATTACCGGCCCTAATGAAAACATCATCCATAAGAACGTCAAAGTTTAATTAAAAAATGATTAAAAAAATTGTACTTTGAACAAAGGTAAAATAACATACTAAAATTTTTCTTTTAGTAATGCAGGTAAATTGATTTAACCCAATCAACTTTTGGAGATTGACTTGATATAAAGATAATTAGAAAAGAGAATGTGCAACGTTAAAGATAGACTCTATTAGAGAGGTTTGATGAGGGTAATAATTAGATTATGGAATAAATCGGTTTCAAAACTAAAAATGTATAATATATATAATTACTAAAGCCCCCACTTTACTCCCACCAGATTGACAGTTAACACAATTAGTCACATCCAACTTTTTACCCCTCTCTCTCTCTCTCTCTCTCTCTCTCTCTCTGCCATTGCAATTGCCATCTGGCCCATTTCCAACACTCCATTCTTGTCCTCGCCTGCACCCACCCTCTACCTTCCCTTCTCCACCTTCCACTGTTGATGTTTTCATCACGCGCTTCTTGTTTTCAACGCTTTCAATTTTCTCCTTATTTTCAATAAAGATGATTCTACTCACGCATTCTTTTTATCTTTTTATACTCTTTTTTAAACGCACAATCCACATTGGGCCAGTTAAATAAATAGTGTCGTAGATTTTTAAAAAATTATTTTTAACTGTGTCAAAAAAAATTATTATAAAAAATAATTAAATAT